ACAGAATGAACTGTGTTAAATCAGTAATGGTAGTTAACAAAATTGAAATAAGTACTATGGAATACCAAATATGAAAATCGTTACGAATAAACTAATTTTCAGTGAACAACAAATGACATAAAGATAAACTAATATGAATAATAAAAGAACGCAACTACAAAAATAAGATTGATAAACTGTCAAAAATACATGGGAATATCTCAAATTACCATAAGAGGTATTACCAGCCAATCATTCCAAAGTCATGATAATAGCACAAGTTATTGAACGTAAGTAATATAATCAACACACACAAAAAAACGAGATATTCGAGAAAAGAATCAGAAATTCCAAAACAATGAAAAATATTAGGAATTTGAATGACCATTATTCATAAAATCGTAAACCTACAATGTAGTCAGTAATAATCTTAAAAGTAGTTGGGGATGGAAAAATACTTAAACTATAATCTGTATATTGTCTGTTTAACCAGTCAGTTGTAGATACACAAATATATTCACCTAAGCATAAAGCTTTTTTTATGAGGAAGAAATATTGTAAATACGTTTCTCAATTAAGTGTTCGGTCTAATTGGTACTTCCATGAATATATTGTTTATTAAATGTTAATGGATAAGCTGTTCTATATGATATCAGGATCAATTACGTAAACAACTCAAACAACGTTTGCTAAATTTTTGTTGTCTGTAAATAGATCGGTACAATTATAAAGTATAGGAATGAGAGTGAAGATATGTTTCTTTGCTTACCACTTAAGCTTCTTTCAGTCGTGTTTATTCAATATCAAGACCATTTCCTAATCAGATTCGCGACTAGTGGTTCCTGATTCATAATGAGAACAGTATCGTAATAACTGGTTGGTAGGATATAGAAACCTTTATATTTTTCAATCACGCTCCATAGCACTTTAGCGAGAATCACTAACTGCATATCAGTACATTAAGCATTTTCGTCGGACAGTTAAGTTTAATACATAGACAGGTGGTATACGTCTAATTTAGTCTAAACAAGCTAAGCGATTTATTTACTTACCACTAGAGATCCGATATCTCTAACTTATTGAATTTAAATAGGTTAAAAATGACCGGCGTAAATGTTTCGTATGTGACTGAACTGAATCAACTGAACGACGAAATAGGTAAACTAATCTGCATTAGAAGTTCACTAAAGCCAAACAATATTTCTTTGGATAACTCAATAGTCGCCGTATTTGATTTATCAAATAAAATGTCGTGTAACTTCCTGCTACAGTAAATGATATATATATATATATATACTCGCCTCTCTTTGCAGTTGAAAAAGCCTTTTTGTATCATTTTGATATTTCATGCTTCATAAAACGTATGGTGACTGAGAATAAACTGCCACAAATTAATAGTAAATCGTCAAGTTTTATTGCATTTTAAATAATGTTTGTTAGAAAATTATTAAATTATAAGATGTCAATTATGTGCTTTTGTTCTTTTTGTTTATCGTCTCCGGATGCAATAGCCTTATTTGCTCTTTAGAGAAATTTGGATCCAGATAGATTTTCGCAATGAAAAGGTGTGCTGGATTAAAACCAATATAACGGCTTAAATGTTTTGGTTTTCGGTTGATAGTTATATTAAGAGATCCACTTAAATTTCTTTTAGCAAAGTAATCTAAAAGTGATAGCTCGCCATGATCAATTTCATCCCTGTGAGTAAATCTAATTTAGGATGCGAGTGCCTTGACCAGTTTCTCATGGCGACAAAAGCACATCCACATATCTGAGTCAAATTCATGGTTTGACGTCATTGGCGAAAATGTTTGATCCTATACATAATAATCAGGTTGGCTACAATCGGAGACACAGGGAATCCCGCTGCCACTCCATTTATCTGTTTGTAAAACAGCCTGCTGAGGGTAAATAAAGTTGGATCTAAGCGTAGATTTAGGGATTTGACTAATAAATTGATACTTAAAGGACATCTGCTAGATAAGGTATGATCATTCTCTAAAAAAACCATCAGTAAAATCAATGCATTTATCAATGGGTATACTAGTATATAAATGTACATCATAGCTTAACACGATTTTATTCCTTTGGAAAATTAATTCCAATATTTTTACTTTAAGTTAAAGGTTTCCCTAGTTTATTAGTTAATGTCAGTAAATATATGCTCAAGAACATTGCTTAATATATATTCGAGATAATATACGATTCAATCTGGAAAAATAGGTAGAGAGCATATAGCCAATGGTAAAACCCATCAATGGTGAAAAATACAAGATGTAATTATGTAATAATAGTTAACCTGAGACTTTATGAGATATGTTTATGGAGTCCAAAGTAGTCTCTTCTTTCTGTTCCACCAATGTACCTACTTTGGCAGATGAGTGCAAATCTCTGTACTCAGTTAGTCAAATTATGAAAGGGGGACCTATGGATCTTTGACTAGAGTAAATAGCATATTGTCATTATACAAGATCACTGTATAGAAATCGTGGCTGAACACTGTTAAGGAATCCTATAATAGGGCGAGATAGCCAGCCAATACTACCTGGTTTTCAGTGCTGGTCCATCTAAGATCAGTTTGGAATTTTAATTATGATAATGTAATTATGTTGAATACAAGATAACTTTAATTGCCTACGCTATGAAGCACTATAAATATAATGTTTGGCATTATTTGAAATAACGCTTTTCTAATTAGACTATGAAAACAATTATAGTAAATTTATAATGAAGGTTGCTTAAGACATAGAAACATTGTATTAAACACAATACATCTGTAATTTAATTCACAGGAATGCAAATTAATAAGGAGTGAACTAATTAGTCGAATAATGATTTGGAAAATTGTAAAACAAGAATAATGAAAACTTAAAGTCACTACATAAGTTCACTCCTTATTAATTTGCATTCCTGTGAATTAAATTACAGATGTATTGTGTTTAATACAATGTTTCTATGTCTTAAGCAACCTTCATTATAAATTTACTATAATTGTTTTCATAGTCTAATTAGAAAAGCGTTATTTCAAATAATGCCAAACATTATATTTATAGTGCTTCATAGCGTAGGCAATTAAAGTTATCTTGTATTCAACATAATTACATTATCATAATTAAAATTCCAAACTGATCTTAGATGGACCAGCACTGAAAACCAGGTAGTATTGGCTGGCTATCTCGCCCTATTATGGGATTCCTTAACAGTGTTCAACCACGATTTTTTCCCGACTACATCAAAATTTAAAAACACTTGTCGTTATTCACCGTGAAATTTTACGTTCTTATAGTTCGTTTTAGTTTTGAATACGTTCAATATCTTTGTCACGGACTTGCATAAGTTGATTAATTTCTCTGAGCTCATTTCTTGTTGTTTCGGGACGGTTCCAGGTATATGGTAATGTACAATAAACAGTAGTCTAATCACTATTGCAATAATTTTAGTCAGTTTGATAGTTATTTGTGGTTTTGCATATCTTGCAGTCTAAGTAAGTGCGTTCTTTTCAGGGCAGTTGGGGTCCTGGATACCAGCATCTATTATCACCAGTCTGAAGACTGATTGTTTGTATTGTGAAAGTGACAAAGCGATAATTTGAGTGCTAAGAGAAGACAGTTACTCTAAGAATTAAAAAAATAATTGATTAGTAATGTGTCAGAATTGGACGAATAATATGTGGAACGGAGATGGTAATAAGAGAGAGATAGTTACTGATATGCGGTAATGGTAACCGTGATAATTTGTGAGACATGCCAAAGTAGGTAGATTGGCAGAACAGAAAGAAGGGAAAACCTTTGATTCCATCAATATATCTCATTAAGTTGTAGTATTTTAGCTTCGTTAATCAATCACCTTGATAACCGTTATTATGTAATTTCCAACGGTGTTTGAAATCATAAGGCAATAAGAAGCAGCAACTATAGTTTATTAGCGGACAGCACGGATAACAAAGCTACAAGCACATCGAGAGAATTAAAAAGCAAAGAGGAGAATATGTGTATGTGAGTGAACACAGAGGTATACTTATAGTCAAATCCAATCAAGGAGCAGCTGGGCTAGGTAAAGTCTAATAATAAGATTCGAGTGCATATATACATGTGTAAGAGAATGACTCATCGAGAGATATTTAAGATATTAACATTAGTTAGAGAGAGATATGTGCGTAGGCTGTCACATATAATCATAATAGGACAAAGAAATATGAGAATTGTTACTGTTGGAATAACATGGTCTGTTAAATAAGTTAATAAACGGGTCTAGCAAAATCTAACCATAATTGAAATTGATTGTAAGAGGCTTGCCATAATGTCTTGGGTCAGTGGGATTAAATACTTTGAGAAGTGCTATCAAAGAACATCTCTATGACACAGGGTATCAAGGTGATAGACTGAAACCTTTCACCATCATCTATCAACAGTCACATTCCATTCCTCACAAATTTGCCCAAACTATAGCCATTAAACTACTAGAGCCAAAGGAAACAGTTTCAAATTTTTCCTTACCATTTTTCATTGTAATGATTGCTAACTGGAAATTTGCGATCTATAACTTCACAAATATTTATACAAAGTAAGATTAGACGATGATAACAGCAACAACAGAAGTATTAGGAAAATGAATAGCGAACAAATTGTAATACCTTTACAATGTGACAAGAACACTTTTGCCTAAGATAAATTATGAAATTACTATTTCATATCTGTGTGGGATGATAAGCATCTGATTGAATTGATTATTATTTTTTTTCAAGGCTTATCGACCAATCTATACATGGTACGGTTATAAAGTAAACAACATATTTTTCTAACATTATTTATAGAAAACTTTATTTTTTGACCTTAGTCTTCACCAAAAATAGAACACTATAATAACTAGTAAAGTCGTCAGTAATAATCCTGTTAATTAATTTTCATTATACACAGTATATAAAAGGATAGTCTATGTCTAAAAGATTGTTATATCTACGATAGATAGTCACAAAATTCTCTCTGTTTCACTTATCATCTTCTACAAGCAAGGAGTGCAGAATGAAACAGATTCAAACTGGTGAGATTATTTTATGAGACTATATTGTTTTGTTCTTTTTATTCGTTAATACACTTTCAATGGTCTATTTTGATGTTCCAGATTATACATAGTTTGTCTACATCTGCTATTTCTAGTTAAAAAAGGGTTGAAAATATTTGTTATTCATTAGTAATTATGCTACTATTTGTTTCGGTAATCTAATAAAAATCATATTTTTTAAGAGATCAGTGATACGTTTCGACTAATGGATGTAACGGACAACTAGTGACAGTTAGTTTTCCTAATTTCACTTCAGTTGCTATCAACATCAGACTGTTTGATTGACTAAACACAAAATGGTCTGTACTACGGTAACTACCATTTAGTAATTGACTACCACAACAAGTTTCTTTTTTGTCGAACAATGATTTCTTATCACTTGTGACAGTTTGGATCAATTCCGTTTATTGAGTGTTTGGGTGTGAAAATGCTGCTTACATAAAATTAAGTGCATTGCAAAGACAAAATAAAGAAGACACGGTGTGTTATTTTGCATGTCAATATAGGGTTAATAAGGAAAGCTCAAGGTTTATCCATGCAGCTCATAATTGAATATCTCTTTTCAGATGTATGGTCAAACACCGGTTGACAGTCATAACCTTGAAAATCCAGGCTTGACTTCGCCTTCTTGAGCCAATGGACTGAATATTACTCAATAAAATTTTCATTTCAGATCAACACACTCGTGCAATGGACGGGCAAAGTACACAGTTTCTCATCTAAGCTTGTGTTGAAATGAGTCATATGGATGGACATCAACATTACAATACTAAGTTTCACGAACAATAAACAGTTTCAGAATTTATTAAAGTAGCTCGTTTTGAAAAATCCTGTTAACTGATATCAAATGTGACTATTGCCTTAAAAATTATTTCCTCAGTTATCTAATCTCTGATAAAAATTAATAGAATACCGTATACTTTAAAAGTGAAACTTAAAGATAGGTGTTTTGCAATTCAGGTATCTTAATCCCATATTTAAAATGTGTATTTAGTCATCCACCCATCTTTCCACATAAGTTTGATACCAGTTTTCAAAATTACCACACTCAATATGATTGACTAAGTTAACAGATTAGATGATATATCAATGTCAAATTATCCACTATCAAAATCGAAAATAAAAGTGGTTACATGCTGTTATTATTGGTGTTTTTGGCTTCTCTCTCTGAGTATTAAATGACTATTTTATTAGTGATTTCCCTGCTCGTTCTACAGCTAGATCATAGGAAGTATTACTTACTGTGTTACCAGCTAATATATTCATGTTTTATGAGCAATAAATACTTTCATTGTTGATTTCAACTAAATAAGTATGAAAGTGAAACGTTTGAGTGAATATCCAGGAGTTATCCACTTTCCTCTTATTATCACGTAGTAAACAGGTCACCTTAGTCTTTTTTTTTACATAAAATGATTCGGACGTGTTTAGGAGGTAGAATGTATCAAGTGTATATTGAACAAATGGACTAGAAACTTAAAGTTGATAAGAATTCAAAATGCAGAAGATTATTTTCACAATAGTTTCATTTACTTTTAATAAAGCCAAATATTTAACAATATCCCTTACGTATAAGAGATTCATAATAGATTGAGGTTCATGAATATGACCAAATAAGTTAAATTCATGTGCTCTGATTCTGTTTATCCCGAATTTCACTGTAATTCGTTATAATATGATGTCTTACACATAGTTGTTTTAGTGGTAATAGGTACTCGGATTTTAGAAAGTTTTTATATTTAATTTCTAAATCATTTTGAGTTCAGTTTATAATCATCAGTGGAAATATATGCACAACAACAAAAATGCAAATTTGCATTTACAAATATAACCATAAGTGTAAACCAAAGTTTCTTCTTCCTCAATGGAATTTACATTGATCTTTAAAATTATGAGCATATCCATATCTGGTATAATTAGAATATGTGCACAATATATTATATAATCTCGGAGTTTAACTTAGTTTGAAAGGATTCCTGAATATTTTATCAGTGATAAAAGTATACCAAAATGAAGTTAATAATCACTTCCATTTACTCAATTTCCAACGTTCATTTTAATACCGTTTATCAGTTTCGTACATAAATTAAGTCCAATAGTTAAACAATTGTTTCAACTGGATTCTGAACTACGTTGGCATTTTGCAAAACTCTGTCAAATTATTTATGTGTCTTTCTTATAGATAACTCATTATTTCCTCCTGACTACCCAATGGTTATCACAAATCAACCAACGTCACAAGTAATATTCAGTGATATACCAGTAACTTTACGTTGTCCGTCATGTGGACTAAATACTTTAACTATTTTGGAGTACAAAAATGGTTTATTAACTTACTTAGCTTCTGGTGGTATATGCCTAATTGGGTAAGTTAATGTTTTATCAGACTTTAATTGATCTATAATTATTGACAAAGTTTAAGTGGAGGATGTTATGTTATTATTTAAAGGATTAAAGTAAATTGTTTCAACTTGATTAGTTAAGCACAATTTTTACTCTGTAGAATTATTGAGCAAATGACAATCTTGTGTAGACAATATGTTGCACCAAAGCACTCATTATTCATTAGGTTAGATAAAATATTCATGTTTGATCAGAGCAGTCATTTATTTGTTTCGCGATTAGTTTGCAGAAAGGTAGGTCAATAAAACAAACAGGATATCTGACTTAAACTTATGTTTGGCACGGTGACAAATTAACTCACTCTTCTATTGTGGTGTTATCCAGTAAACATTAATGATAAATTTACTGCAATTATAGAAGATTATACATGCAAAACATAAGGATTTTAATGTTGAGGTTATTTTCTAGTTTACATTCAGTTATGTTTTCATGTTAATATTCATTGGCTTGACCGTTCTTTTCTAAGTGGATTGCTACTATGGTAATCTCACTAGACAAACATAGAAGAGTAATAGGATATCCATAATTAACACAAAAGTTAAATAATAATGATCTATCATACATAAACACATTGACATGAGCACATTTGAACGTATTGTGTTTTGTGATTGGAATTAGTCTCGGAGTAATAGTGATTACAGTACAAATTGAAAAGTGTTCTTAAAACATCAATGTGTATGTAAATGAGAAACATCAATAGCATAGTTGAGATGTTAAAAAATTCAAATTACTTTCGTACTCTCGTACCATTATTTCAACTTTTAATGAACAAAATAATTAACGTATTTTCTGTAGTAGGCAGAAACTACATCTATTTACTAAATATTAATTATGAATAACATAAAGGTACACATACACTCACATTCATTCTTTTTCATACTGTAAACTGTTCGGATTATTCACATCTTACTGACTTACACTTTCTTACTTGCTAAAATCAATATCTGAATAAGATTGTATAAGTGTATTGTGCTTTCATTCTTTGATGATTTTGATTATTACACTGAAGAACTCCAGACAAGACTCTTGGATAAAATGTTAGAATTACTTAGATTTCAAATGATATAAATAGAGTAGTATACGTTGAGTAGAGTAATTATAACCAGGCTTCTGATTGGCTAGTCTAACGGTAATCGCTGTTGATTTCGATATCATAACAAGTATAGTTTCTTCTTGATTTAATCTACTCCGCCTGAAGTCCCTCCGGGGGCTACTGCCGGTCCCAAGCCCGGATAAAGAAGGAGGGTTTGGCATGGGGTTAGCGACCCCATCCCGTAGAAAACCAACTCGCTAAAAAAACGCTAACCAGAAAAAATTATTCAAACCACTGATTTATCGAGAATGAACCAATCAGACAGCTCCTATTTGATCTTTTCTCCACGACAAACCAGTCAAAACTCTGCTTCTAATGTGACTAGGTTTTACAATATGTCGGTCATCTTTATGTGAAAACAATTTGTATTTCGAAAATGTACGGTTTTGAGAATGAAATGTATTTTAGAAAAGAGGACTCTTGGCTGAACCAATAGTTTCGTGTATTAGTCACATTGTATGTATTTCGTTTATTTGAAAATTTGAATGGTTTAATGTTCATCGGATGGTTCGATGCTACGATACTCATCATTAAGAAAGTAAATAAACCGAGATAAAATTGGATGAAACATTTCAGCTAATCCTTATGAGAAACAAAATGAATAAAATATGGTGAATGTAAGTGATTTGAAAACACATTCACAGTCAACTGAGTAGTGATAATATCTTCGATTACTGAAACCTTGAAAGCTGATTGTACCCTGATGACAGGTTCCCCGATAGTTTGATGATTGAGTCTATTGGATAAATTCTGTATATATATTCATCATTGGATTCAAGATTTTTAATATTCCGTTTGATCTGACTATATGTTTATTTGAGTAAAATGGTCAGATAACAAACAAATTATCGTCAGATAATTTTTTTGTGGGATGAAGTCAATGTAAGAATTTATTTGAAACTATGCAACACAACTAAGATTATATACATTTCCTTGGTCAATCTATTACTTTATATAGTAAATCAATTTTCCTATTGACGTTTTATTCTTCTCACTTTTGTTAATACTTCATTTTGATGGCTTTAAAACAAACAAACACCTAATATGGTTATTTATACCACATAGGCTATTCTATTAGATCGTTTACATACAAGAACTACATAATCACACAGCTCTTTCATTCTCAAAATGTACATCGATTGTTCTCAGTTTCCTGCAAATTTTTTGAGCATTGTTAGGCAAGACCACAAACTAAATTAAACACAGTGGTTAGTATTAGGACAACTTATTCAAGAAACATTTTGCGTAAAAAAATCAGGATTGACATATTTGAAATATTATTGTATATGATATATATTCTACAGTAATAACATTATTTTGTTTGAATACCTACTAACAGTTTAATACAAATCATTTTACTTATCTTACATTTTGTGTAGCGGGGTTTTAGGTTGTTGCCTTATACCATGTTGCGTGAACAGTTGTAAAGATGTGAATCATATATGTCCACATTGTCGACGTGCTGTGGGAACCTACCACAGATTGGGAAAGTGAACGTTCAATATGATAAGAGGAACAAAATCAACCAATGATAATGAATTCCTATTTAACAAATAAACATAAAGTTCTTATATAATTACAATATTAAAGTTAACTTTTCTTTTAATCTTGGTTTATGTCCTTAATAAGTTATTTTAAATGATTATATATTTCTCTTCATTCCTTTGAATTTTTATGAATTAAATTGTAAAGGCATTTTGTTTAATCAGATGTTTATAGATTAAAATAAAATTGTTAATGTTGAAATGGCCTTTAAGCTAATGTTTGCTTGAATAAGTTCATACGTTAAAATGATAACAAATGTAGGTAACATATAGTGGGAGAAATAATAATGTAGTTCAAATCATATAAAATGTTTAGTGTAAGACTATGTAATACATGAAGTTATATGAATTTAGTATTGAAAAAATCATAGTGTGGGTCGAGTACCAACTAAATTACCTGTGTTCAGAAAACTAATAGTAATATTGAAACAATAATAATGGTAGTGGTAGTGGAATAATAAAAATAGCAATGATCATAATATAAAGATATGTAAATAGAAATAACAAAGACATTAATATCTTTAGCTCACATATATCCGGTGTCTTAATCTGGATGACTCTTGTATTAGCCATTTAGAGGACTTTGAACAGGACCGACTTTGCCTGAAAATTACTAACCAGATAAATTATTGAAAATCATTAACCTATGCTGGCTCTATGACCAGTCTGCACTAAATAGGTTATTGTTGAGCTGTTTACTGTCTTGACTATACCTTTTCTCAACTACTCTGGTAGATAATTCATGTTTTGGCCTCTAAGTTACTATTGAGTGGGTAGGAGGTGAAAGCCAAAGTTTTCCGGTGTTTAGTGTTTTTTGAGTTTTCCTACGTAAACTTTGGGTCGGTATTTCACCGGATGATTCACCTATGAATTCTGCGTACATGAACAGGGGTTTTGTTATCACCTATTTTACTTCTATTTTAACTTTCATGGTCATATATCTGTTTATAAACTTCCCAGGAGCTCATTTCCTCTTCAAAAATATACGTAGGATATACAGTGCGTATTCCATAAGTGAGAGCTTTCATCAGGTTTTTTGTGCTGTAGGCATACGAAGATAAGGAAAGTTTTGTACTACTCTGTTCAAGTAATTTTGCTGTTCGAACTTCCGTCTCATTGACTTGTAGGGCCAGTGAAACGTTTCTGAGTCCTAGCCGAATCATCCGGCAGCTGGTCCTCGTCAAGGCCAAGGATAATCGACGCATATCAGCTAATCGCACACCATGGACTAGCCCATATGATGGTGCTCACACTCTCTTCACTGTGCCTACTCTTTCCAGTATATTTCTGTAAAAGTCATTTGCGTTGTACGGTCGTCAAAGCAGGTTTAGTACGTTGACACGACGAGAGGGTCATCTACGTTAAAGTCTAACCGCGAGGTGTGACTTTGAAGTTAGCTGGGTCGTCGCACCATTCCCGTCTAACTCAAATAGGCCGCCAATCATTCGATACAGATAATCTACGTTAATGATCCACAGACTCATCAGCTCTTTTTATAAATAGAACATTCAAAAAGGATATCCTAATTTCTCATTCATCTTCGTATGTAAACCTGATGACTTGATGTACTTCACTAGAATACGTAGGAACCTCTAGTTTGAATGTACTATCTTTATATGTGATGAATGTATTATCCAAGTATTGATAGTAAAATGTGAACGTTTGCATAAACTGCTTGGGCGAAACACCTAGTTTAGCTAAAAAGATGTCGGCTAATATGGAACTCAATGGTGAACTCATTGTAACCCCGTCCACTTATTCATACACTTCTCCGTCAAACTTGTCAAACCCTGAATATCCGCGACATCCTTTAACGTGATGAGGATTTCTAAACAGTTATAACCATATGTTTCTATTTATCAATTTCACCTTTATGAAAATCGCAATTTTTTGTCTGCTTCATCTACCAATAGCAAATATTGTAGTAACTATTCCATAGTGATGTGTGGAGTGAGAATGATTGGTTATTTGCTTAGGCAGACATGTGGTTAGTCTGACAGGTGTTAGATGAGTTATATATTCCTCTATCCTTATTATTACTGATTATTGATTGTTGTCGGATTGTGTGGGCTTGTTGTCAGCTTTTAGTGTGGAAATATATTTGCGTTCTAGTCAGGCTAATCACGTGTTCTTGATCTGAGTTGCATTGAAGTCCTGTAGAATGGACACTGAGAGGGAATCTAGTGTAGATATTCGTCTAACCTCCCATACGTTTAGATGAAGTAAAACCGAGCGTTATAACACATTGTGTGAATATTTTTACCAACCGAAATTTAAATGAGTTATCCTATTTAGATATTCACAACAGGACATCCAATTGATTGGTTTAGTGTACCAGTAAGGGGCTATTCAATACTATTGATTGTATCTGTGCAAATGATAGTACAGAAAGGAGGATTAATCATGATTTGCAACTTGAGGCGTCCGAAAGGGCTTCAAAAATAAATAAGAATCCAGTCACCCAAATAGAAGCAGATGTGTGGTGTTTGAATGAACTAATGACTCCTTTGTACTTGTTGAATGCCTGATTTCGAATTCTAAATACAATACATTCGTTCGTGCTTATCTAGTAGTTCATGATCCACTTACGTGATTTCTGGGATTATTAGTTCATACTGTAATTCAAATACTTCTAATTATCATATTGGCGTCGCGATGGAGCCTGCGATGGAACATTTAGATATTCATTCAACTTCTGAAGCTTTTGAGGATTATTTAGAAAGGTTTGAAATTTGGTGCATCACCAAGAAAGATGTTAAAAATGATAAGATTGTGGCACATTTCTCGACATTCATTGGAAGAGAAGCGTACAGCTTATTAAAAACTTTGGCATATCCAGAAAAACCTGTCTCACTTCCTTATGCAACTCTTAAGGAGCTATTATTAAATCATGTAAAGTGCACTAGTTTTGAATGCCGTGAAAGAGCAAAATTTCATAAGATGATCCGTCAAAATGACCAAAAGGTTAGGGAATTCATCCTTGAATTGCAGAAACAAGCTGCCAAATGTAATTTTGGTGATCAACTTCATGTGCAACTGGGAGACCGATTAATCGCAGGAATCAACATACCGGGTTTGGAAAGAGAGCTGTTAAGAATGCCCAACTGTTCCTTTCAAGATGCTAGAACTGCGTGTATTAACTACGAGGCAGTGAATGAACTTGATATCCAGTCGATGAATATTTCTAATACTTTGCTTAGTCGTCATGATGGAATACAATCTCAGGGTCAATCAAAATTGCGTTCGTTTAACAGTGGCTCGTACTCCCGTTTAAATATGAAAGGTGTTTCAACAAGGAATTACAAAGGAAATCACAAAGGTGAGACCAAGTTTGGCAAATTTTTATCATGTGGAAAACTTCATTCTCGTAATTCATGTTCATTTCGTAATGCTAAATGTTTTAGATGTGGTAAGATAGGACACATTCAAACAGTATGCAAAGCTACTGTTCATTTTGCCTCAAGTAGTACTAAATCCTGCAATTTAGATCCCAATAATTCATCTGTTCCTAATGATCATTTATCTTTGTCTACCATTTCGAAAGGTAATACTCATATTCAAGATCGATTATATCCATCTCTTGGTTCATGTCATGACTTTATTGTGGACACAAGCAGCATAGAGTCCATTTTTTCATTCAAGAACTTGGAATCTTTAGATCCTAATGTTGTGGCACTACTCACTGAGGTATCAATATTGGGGATTACTGGACACAGACTGCCTATACGAGGATGTTGTAAGTTGCTAATAAGAGATGATAATTCTTCATACATACCTTGTGAATTTAAGTTACCGAAACAGGACTGTCAATACTGGGCTTAAGGAATTTGAAAAGGCTTAAAGTGGAGCTGTCTTTCCTAGTTTCTAAAGAAAAATAATGATGCTTTACTTAAAGATTTGATAGCCACGTGTGCTAAGTGCAGTGGAGATATGAAAATTCAGCCTATAAAACTTCAAGTACAGGGTGATCCAGTCATTCTTAATAGACGAATAATTCCTTATGGTCTTCGAGATGCAGTACATAAGACATTAAACGATTTGTGTGCAAAGGGCATAATTGAACCGGTTCAGTCTTCAGCATGGGGTACTCCTATTGTTACGCCACTGAAATTGGACGGCAAGACTCCTAGAATATGTGGTGACTATAGATTAACATTGAACTCCCATTTGTTGAAGCAAACATGTACGACAGTAGAGGCTGAAGATATTGTAAATCGACTTCATGGTTCTAAAGTGTTCTCGAAATTTGACCTAAAAGACGCTTATCTTCAAATCCCTTTAGATCAATCCTCATCTATTTTGACGACAATTAAGACTCCTTTTGGTCTGTTTAAATACAATTTCCTTCCATTTGGTCTAAGTTGTTCTCCAGCTATATTTCAGGAAGTCATGAATAATGTAATTAGTGATCTTGAGGGCGTTGAATTTTATCAAGATGATTTGATTGTCCATGGTTCTGATAAGGTAGTTCATAACCAGAGACTTATTGCTTCATTGCGTCGTTTAATTGAGAAGTATATTACAGTGAATCCAAATAAGTGTTCATTTTGTGTATCTAATTTCGAATGTCATGGATACCTAGTTGATGGTCATGGTTTTGTACCAGATATGAAACGACTAGCTCCACTGACAAATGCACCGTCTCCAAAAGATCTTACGGAACTACATTCACTATTGAGTGCTCTTCAATACTGTTCCCGTTTTATTCCTAATTTTTCTTGTCGTGCAAATTGTTTATTTAATATTTTGACATCCAATTCATTCAAATGGGGTGAGGAAAAAGAGTCAAGCTTACGTAGTATACTAAAGTTTCTTCAAAGTGATGCTGTTCTTCGGACTTACTCTCCTAGTGTACAGTCTGTGCTTATTACTGATGCATCACCTGTGGGTATTGGCGCAGTTTTGGAACAGGAAGGTAGATCAGTTATTTGTGTTTCACGCAAACTTACCGTTACTGAACAAGGCTATTCGCAGACTCAGCGAGAAGCATTAGCTGTGTTTGGGCTGTTAAAAGACTTTATAAATATTTATTCGGAAAGAAATTCACTATTGTTACTGATCATGAGGCTTTAAAGTTTATTTATCATCCTGAAGAAGCCTTAGCACGTTCCTCAGCTGCTATGGTTCAACGATGGAGTATTGCTTTGAGTGCCTATGACTATACGGTTCAGCACAGAAGTGCCAAACAAATTCAACATGTTGACTACATTTCTCGACAGTCATTACAAGATAAACCTGTAAATACTTCAGACTGTTTGTTAGTGCAACCTTACCAGTGAAACGTCCAGATCTCATTAGAGAAACTCGTAAATACTTTGGATGTATAATTAATGCTATACAGAAAGGTTGGAATGCTAATTTGAAACGTAGATTTCCTATCTATTTTTCAAAGCGGGATGAGCTATCTACTACTCCTGATGGTATTTTGTGTTTAAATGATCGTGTTGTTATTCCTCCTTCATTGCGTAAATCTGTCCTAGAAGATCTTCATGGTGGACATTTAGGTGTTGAAAAAATGAAGTCATTGGCGAGGCTCACATGTTGGTGGCCAGAGATAAATGCAGATATTTGTCGTACAGCAAACAATTGTGAAAAGTGTCATAAGCTGAAACATCAGCATTCGAAGTGGACTCTATGGCCAGTATCGTCTGAGGCCTGGCAGAGAATTCATGCAGACTATTGTGGTCCGTTTCTTGGCAAATACTATGCGCTTGTAGTTATTGATACTTTTCAAAGTGGCCTGGAGTTTTTTCACAACTTCACCAAATTCTGACTTCACAATTCAAGCATTAAGAAAGGTGTCTAGTCAGAAGGGGTTCCAATGGTGTTAGTACTGATAACGGCTCTCATTTTGCTGTAGATGCAGTCACTACCTGGTTAAATGGTATAGGGTGCAAACATCTGTTTACTGCTCCCAGACATCCTTGTTCCAATGGTCAGGCAGAAAATTTTGTCAGGACGTTAAAAACTGCTATTGATTCTATTGCCGCCTCAACATTTAATGATCTGGAGAGGGGAGTAGATACCTTTATCCTGCAATATAGAAATGCCAGACATTCGGTGACGAAAGAGACTCCATCAAAGCTATTAAAAGGAATAATTCTTCGGTCGAATATGAGATGTTTGGAGTCTGCAGAAGTTACATATTATCGTGGCAATGATCTTCGACCATCCACGGGGGATTGTTCTGAAGAATGTCGGGAAATCTATGCTGCGACTTCTAGATAATAATGACTTAAGTACAAACAATCGACATGTTGATCAAATACAATTCCAGGAACCACGTGAGTCTGTTCCTATTTCATTTGTTAATTCTAATACTAATGAGTGCATTCTAGATAATACAGAGTCTCTATCCAATACATTGTCGGACAGATACAGTATGAACTTGAGAAGACGTACAATTGATTACAGACACTTAGACTCTAATTAAGGCTGTGGCGAATGGGGTGTTTGAATGAACTAATGACTCCTTTGTACTTGTTGAATGTTTGATTTCGAATTCTAAATACAGTACATTCGTTAGTGCTTGTGTAGTACTTCTTGATTCAATTACGTTATCCCTGGGATTATTAGTTCATACTATAATTCAAATACTTCTAATTATCATAAAAAACTAACATTATGCATTTGTCATTAACTACCTGGTAGTTGAACAATGTTATTACTCTATATTAGACTGAGAGGAATCTACACTACATTCCGTCGATTTTGGACGTGTAATGTAAGTATGAGGTGTGTAGCGGTGAATAAATCTCCAAAATAAATATCTCCTGTGTGAGTCTTCGACATTTGGATGCTGACCACTTTAGTTTTAAGGAACTCATCTAGCTGAAGACGCTCGGTTAGTGCATCCCAGCCAACAGTACACGAATGAGAACGCCGGTTGCTACGTGACAGTTCTCCTGTAATCAGCTAACCAGATTAGATCAGGACGACCCCTCGATAGACTGGGTAGCCTATCACGACATATCTTCGAACCTAA